AGCATTTGAAAATAAAAAAGTTCATCCAATGTCATACCAATAACTCATTATATTTATAAATTATTGTTTTTAGAAAAGGAAAAGTATTGTAACGAATTAACTGAAGTCCACTAAAACAAACAATATATTAGTAAAATTGGACATTTGCCCCCATTTATAAGTACAAAATTTCTCGGGTACTCACCGTTTCAATTTTGCAGTTATCATCAGGATTTAAATACATGCAGTTACATCATGTTATCGTTTTAGCAAAGCTGAGATCAATGTAGAGTATGTGAACATTTGAAATCAAGAGGGAATCGGAGGAAGAATGCACCCCTTGTAAACTTTATCAATTTTGTAGCTGGTTCAAATAATTTCCGAGCAAGCCTTCTTCCAGCAACATTGGTAATACGTCTTTCGTGTTCACCTGATTTCTTAAGATAGAAACAGTATTGCAAAAATCTTGGATTCGAATGCCGTATCCATCCACCACTAAGTCCCGATTCCAACCGATTATATTGAAGTGATGATCCTCTAAGTCCAATGTTTCTAATACTTCAGGCAGCCTCACGTCCTAATCTACCATACCTACTGAAAATAAAAAGTTATATGCAATGTGGGTGAACTGATTTCTGATAGTCATATTGTTGAGCATATTGTATGAATTAAAAATCAAATCCTAAATCAAAGTATGAAATTTTAAGCTAATTTGAAATTGATCAATCCAATCAATAGCTATATACCTACAAAGTGCTAATCATATTGTTAAGCATATTGGAAAAATTGAAAATCAAATCCTAAATCAAAGTATGAAACTTTAAGCTAATTTGAAATTGAGAGATCTAATCAATAATAATCATATTGTTAAGCATATTGAAAGAATTGAAAATCAAATCCTAAATTAAAACTATAAAACTTTAGGCTGAATTGAAATTGAGAGATTTTTGATCTCCAAATCAACCGGCATACGAAAAAATATCACAAATTTGAGACTACGTACCTTGATAAACAATAACATAAGATAATTAAATTTAAAAATTGAAAATTGTTTATCAAAATCTCCCCATTCAAAATGCAATTATGCTTATGCTTTCTCATGAATATTCATGGCAGAAGAGTGTATGTAATAGTGAGACTAATCTAATATGCTTAAAAGACAATTAAAGTGCATGTAATAGCGAGACTAATCTAATATGCTTAAAAGACCAGTTAAATCTCTATCTATAACTAGTAAGAATACTCATCTCTCGTCTTTTTACCCTTCGTCCAAGTTTTATTTATTTTGTGATAAAACTCTGTGATCATCAACCTTCCTTCCGATTGCCTTCATGAAAGACACAAATGTCTGCAATAAGTCTCTTTTTCCATGTCCTGTAAACTCTTATTTTTCCGCCTCCAATATGCTCGCATCAACCTTCTATTCCTTGTTGTCGCCATGAAATTTGACTTACAAATCTTTGTATTTGATTCCCGCATGGTAGTTTGGCAACATTAAACATCGCCGCACTATAGACAAGTTCTTGTTCGCAACGGCCGAGTTTGTAATCCACAAATTCTTCCCAAACTGTTTCTTCCCACACTCTTGTTCAACATCTTGAAGTCGGATGTCGGCCTCGTTTAACGCTTAACCCTGGCAAGAGCTACGACACCTCCTTAAGGCTTTGCACCCCTCTTAAGTTCTTTGTATTCGACTATCTTTTAATCAAGTGCAAAAACATATGCAACAACCTTTAGCGTTTGTTTTGTTACCTGACTATTATTCGCCATGCTTACTCTGCGGCACCTTTAGATAAACTTCTTGCCCTCTGGATCATCTTTCAACCGGCTACAAAACTGATAAACTTTACGAATGATACATTCTTCCTCTGATTCCCAATAATTTCCAAGCAAGCCTTCTTCCAGCAACATTGTTAATACACCTTTCGAGTTCACCTGACTTCTTAAGATAGAAATAGTATTAAAGTTATATTTTTGTACGACATTCGAATCCAAGATTTTTGTAATACTGTTTCTATCTTAAGAAGTAAGGTGAACTCGAAATGCGTATTACCAATGTTGCTGGAAAAAGGCTTGCTTGGAAATTATTGAGAATCGGAGGAAGAATGCATCTCTCGTGAACTTTATCAGTTTTGTAGCCGGTTGAAAGATGATCTAGAGGGCAATAAGTTTATCTATTGGTGCCGCAGAGTAAGCATGGTGAATAATAGCCGGGTAACAGGACAAACGCTAAAGATTGTTGCATATATTGCTGCACTTGATTAAAAGATAGCTGAATACAAAGAACTTAAAAGGGGTGCAAAGCGTGAAAGAGGGGTAGTAGCTCTTGCCAGGGTTAAGTGTAAAATGAGGCCGACAACCGGCTTCAAGATCTTGAACAAAAGTGTGGGAAGAAGCAGTTTGAGAAGAATTTGTGGATTTAAATCTCGGCCATGGCGAACAAGAACGTGTCTATAGTGTGGCGATGCTTAATGCTGCCAAACTACCATGCGGGAATCAAATTACCAAGATTTTTAAGTCAAATTTCATGGCGAAAACAAGGAATAGGAGGTTGATGCGAGCATATATGAGGCGGAAAATAAGAGTTTACAAGGAGATATGGAAAAAGAGACTTATTGCATACATTTGTGTCTTTCATCAAGGCAATCGGAAGGAAGGTTGATGATCATAGAGTTTTATCACAAAATAAATAAAACTTGGACGAAGCGTAAAAAGAAGAGAGGCGAGTATTCTTACTAGTTATAGATAGAGATTTAACTGGTCTTTTAAGCATATAGGATTAGTCTCACTATTACATGCACTTTAATTATCTTTTAAGCATATTAGATTAGTTTCACTATTACATACACTCTTCTGCCATGAATATTCATGAGAAAGCATAATTGCATTTTGAATGGGGAGATTTTGATAAATCAGTCAATCATTAATTTATACAGCATTTTAAATGTTTACAATCCTTTAACATCTCATAAAGCTACAATGGGTTGTTCCTTCACTAATTTTTCACTCACTTCATCTCTACAAACCACAAATCAAACCAAGGGGGTGTTTGGCTTTCCTTTTAAAACAACTTTTGGACTTTTATCTTTTCCAAAAAGTTAAAAAAGTCCAAAAGATGTTTGGCAAAATAGAAAAGTTCTTTTAAATCAACTTTTTGCCATAAACAAAATGGAGCCTTTTTAAAAGTCATAAAATCCATCTTTTTGTAACTTTTGGCTTTTATCTCTTAAAATTCTTAAAAACCAAACCAAACACATTTTAAATACCTCCTTTTAAAAAAAGTTCTTTTAGAAAAAGTCCTTTTCACAAAAGGACTTTTAAGTTAAAAAAGGAATCCCAAACACACCCAAGAATCTTACTAACTCTCATCTTGTCACTACAACCAGTCCATGATTGTTAGGATCCCATTGGATCATGTGGGTTCCACCCAAGTACATGTACCATTGTCCGACCCCATGCCATCATTAATCTCAACCTGCAATGCTGCATTACCTCTTCACCCATCGGTTGAACTTCAGAAGGCAAAAGAATCCTGATACATGGTGTGCACCCAACAAATTCCCTGCATTTTACACCACAATGTTAAGCCTTCAAACACCTTTTAAAGGTATAAATTTAAACTCGTTTCTACTTCAATTTTTCCAACTACAACATTGTGCTTTGAAAAATCTACTCAATTATAGCAATGCCATCCAAATTAAACGAAACATTTTATTCTATAATTGTATAGAGTTTTCATAGTACAATTCCTTAATAAGAAAAATATGAAAGTAAGATACATCATAATTCCTGAAACTCGACACATCAATAGACCTCCGAACTGTTCCTGCTTTTTGAATCTGAATACCACAAGAAAAAAAAGTTGTTCCGTATTATCATGTTTCGATTCTGTAGATATGGGTTGAATGCAAGAATTCTGGACATACTTCATTTGATTTGTTTATAATAGCATCTTACTTTCATTTCTTCCAAATATACTCTTGTAGCAATGCCATGGAAATACTAAACTACTTTCACTGTAATGACCGGGTAGATTTTTAAAAGTACAATAGTAAATTAAGAAAAAAAATTCAAAGTACACAATTTAGTAAGAGTTTTCAAAGTACAATGTCTTAATAAGAAAAAAATTAAAACACTGGATCTGTGGAATAGTTGAAAAAAAAATCCGACTAATGCACTTTGAGATGCATTTAATTTTAATTTGAAATTTGGAATAGAGCTGGATCTGTGGAATAGTTGACATTTTATTTGACTTATTTCCAGTTATTTAATCTGGTAGAGAAGACACTGATGAAGCTACAACAAGGTTCTCATGGTTATACAAGTTTAATTCCCGATGACTCTATGAAAACTGATACAAGTCCTTCAATGGCTATTAATGAAGCATCAGTGGTTGTGAATGCTTTCATACACTCTTCGTACAAGCTCAAAAGAATAACCACATGGGGATTTATGAGTCCTTTACATGTTTTCAAGATACAAAACTTCTCGAAATGACAACAAAAACTCATTTGATGATGGTACTGCAATGACCAAGTAATTGTTCTAAACTTCATCTTGCATCTATAGTTTAAATATGAATATGAATTTGAGTCTTTATTGTTATTGTGATAATTTTGAATCATAATGTTGTTTAATTAAAAACAAATCCTTTACATTGTTTTTTATTGTACCATTTTGGTCATCAGTTACCTAACAAAATTACTAGGTAAAAACATTTCCTTAATGCAGTTAGGACTTACCTAAAAGCTATACTAGAGCTATTCACATACTTTGTGCCAAATCCATGGAGTGTATTAGTTTGGTTCAAATGGTTGTTGGAAAAGATAAATTTCATAGTTATATGCTAACCTCCACTAAATACACATATTCAAGAAGGGGTTAAACAGGAAAAACAGTAAAATAAGAACCAATTATAAGTATCTTACATGGAGGGGCAATTTGGGTATTTATTGTTTTATTAAGTCTCTTACAGAAGGTAATGTTAGTAGTGGAATGGTAGAATGTTCTAGGTTCATGAAATGTTCACTTTGATTCTAATAATTGAGAAAAGCATCACATGTAGCAGTACAGGTTATAGGAACAATGCTATTCCCCGCATTTACATGTAAAAAAACTTGTAGTAAAGTTTATTTGATTTGTTTCAAGATTTTAGTTTGAGTTTTTGTTACTATTTTCATGACCGTATATGCAATGCCTATATATTAGTAGAACAGTACTACCGAAAATTTTAATTTAATAAAAAGAAGGCAATAAACACTTTTTAGGCTGAAATGCTGTTCTTTAATAATGACTGGATTTTAAAAAACTAAGTGCAAACATATGACATGACATGAGTCATCTCTTATGTTATGGCTCTGAATTGTAATATATCTTTTTAGATTAGTTGCCAATTTATAAGCTAATCTATCATATTATAAGTTGGATCAGGGAGGAAATCAATAGTTTTTAACCAAAATATAGTAGGTTTTCCTTAATAATATTTCAAATCTAATATTCTCTTTTCCATGATAAGACTTTGTCATGATACATAGTTTAAAGTCTAAATGGGTAAAGATAACTATAATAAATGATGTCATGGTGTAATTATCATGGAAGGTATATAGAACCTTTTAATAGTTTTCTTTCAAATGAAAGTTAATGCTATTTGTAGCATTTGAAAATAAAACATTCCATCCAATGTCATACCAATAACTCATTATATTTTATAAATTATTGTTCCTAGAAAAGAAAAAGTATTGTAACGAATTAACTGAATTCCACTTAAACAAACAAAATATATTACATTTGCCCTCATTAATAAGTAGAGAATTTGTCCGGCACTCCATCTGGATTTAAATACTTGCAATTACTTCATCATGTTATTGTTTTAGCAAAGCTGAGTTCAATGAAGAGTACGTTAACTTTTGAAATCAACAGGTAACCTCTCTCGATTTCTAATCTGCTTTCAATGTAAGTAATTTATCGTACGTTTTCTTTCGAATTAGCTTGAACATTCATACTCGATCATTATCGCTTCAGATAGCTCAGTTCATAATCGAAGCTCAATTAGCAAAGCTGAAATCAGTGAAGAGTACGTGAACATCTGAAATCAACATGTAATCTCTCAATTTCGAATTTGCTTTCAATATCAGTTATTTGTTATTTATCAGAAGTTCCAATTGGATTATGTCTCGTTGATTTGACGCTCTTCTTTTCGTATTAGCTTGAATATACATACTTGATTATTATTGCTTCTGATGGCTTAGTTCATAATCTAAGCTCGAGTTAGCAAATTTGAAATCAGTGAAGAGTACGTGAAGTTCATAATCGAAGCTCGAGTAGCAAATCTGAAATTAGTGAAGAGTACGTGAACATCTGAAATCAAGAGGTAATCTCTCAATTTCGAATTAACTTTCAATATCAGTAATTTATCGGATTTTCCAATTGGATTTTTATGTATCGCTATGTTATATTCACGATGTCTCGTTGATTTCACGTCTTCTTTAATTCGAATTGGCTTGAAGATTCATACTAGATTATTATCGCTTGTGATAGCTCAGTTAATAATCAAATTATTATCTATTAGCTTGGTTTAGCTGACTAGCTTCATTTACAGTTTGTTTTTTTTTTTTTTAATTCTTCTAATAATGTTATCGTTTTTTATTCTCAATTTGATTTTCACTTCTTCAACTACTCGATTTTTGTTTTGATGATATGATTATCCGAAATCAATCTGTGCTTATTATATTCATGATGTTTGATACGAGTTGTGTTTGTCTATTTGACGCTCAAAAGGTAAATCTCACTCTCATTTTCGAATAGCTTAATATGCTTGAAGTTTCATACTCAGTAATGTATATTTTCATTCCTTCAAATTCGATTATTATCTCTTTTCAGTGTAGCAAATCTACAATGTATGGCAATTTCTCTGATGGATTTATCCGACTAGTTTAATTTACATTTTTTCATATATAATTATCTTGTTATTGTTTATGGATTTCAGAGATGAGATTGGTGAACCACCACCTACTTCACTCGGGCGATGCTTGAAGCCGCCTTACAATAATTCGGGAATGTAAATACCTAGATATATACGTCTAACTTTATTATGGCAGCAAGGAATAGAAGCTTGATGTGAGAATACATAATGTGGGAAATAAGAGCTTAAAAGAAAGACGAAAAATGAGACTTATTGCAGACCTTCATGTCTTTCATGGAGGCAACTAGAAGGGAGGTGTATGATGACATGCGTTTATCTCATGTAAACAAAACTTGAATGAAGCCAAAAAGGAAGAGATGTGAGTTGTCTTACTATATCTAGATATATGTTTTGCAACATTACCGGTAGCTTGGGTGTTAGTTATATTCATAAAGTATCTTGTATATTTAAACCATTAAATAGTATGGGATGGGTATTGTTTTGAACCATGCCTATTTATAGTCCACTTAGGAAGTTGCTAGATACTAATATACATTTTGTATTTACTAAATAACTCTATAACTATCTATCATGTTCTATAAACTTCCATATGCTTCTAGAACATTCTATCATGTCTTATAGAGATCTAGGGCATTCTAATGTCTTCTAAAATATTCCACAAGTCATTTTAGAATATTGTAGTCTTTTGGTATAAACTAAAATCTTCCATAATGTTCTAGAATCTTCCAAAGCATTCTAGAACAATCTAACTTCTTGTAGATAATAATATTGGTTCAATTAGTCTCATGATGATCTTTTAACACTAGCCCCCAATTTTCATACAATGTTGAATTGGTGGCAAAAGTGCTCACATTTTCCAATACTAAGCCCTTTAGTGAACAAGTCCGTTATTTGGTCACCGGCTTGATTTGTTGTATCTCATTTCTTCCCGCAAAACTCTATGATAAATTGATAGTGCATATGCTTTGTTTTAGCATGAAATACTAGATTTTCTACTAGTCAAAGGTTGGTTGTCGCAATGAAGTGACACCGTATATTTAATCTTTTAATGTAACTCCTTGATTAAAAGTACTACAACATGAAATTGTTCCTGACCAAGCTTGAACACATTGTTGGGTTATAAGGATCAAAAAGGACAAAAAAAAAGCACAATGGAAGCATATATGAAAACATAAACAAATAAATCATGAACTTAATAGTCGAATCCATGTTCAACCAAATCTAATGCAACACAAAATAAAGTAGAATTGTAACATCCAAAAAAATCATAAATATTTTAAACCTTTCAAACAATTCCACAAACCACCATTGTTTACAAAATAGTTTTCAAAACATGTTTATTATCAGAGTTATCCCAAAATCATAAAACAAAACACGAGGAGATGCATTATCACGCCTTTGCCTTCCCGCGATCATCTGCGCGGTGCGGTTTGGTGTGGTTTAGAGCCAAAACCGCAAACCGCACCGCATATGCGGTTTGAGTTATTTAGAAACTGCATCGCGAACCTTCTAAACCGCATTATGCGGTATGGTTTTGTACGGGCGGTTTATGCGGTTTGACTAATTATTTACTTTAAATTTAATGACAATACTATCATTGTCGTCACTAACAGCTCACTACGTGGTAATTAAAAATTTTGGTGGTCAAAGAATTATGGTCTTTAACTACTTATCAATATATATAAGTTAAGAAAACATAACGACAATAAAATAATGGTCACTGAATGTTAGTTGAAAATGAATTTGTGAAATATATATATATATATATATATATATATGGTAACTGCATTAAATTTTGGATTAATTAAATTTAAAGAAATATTGATTACATTTCAAAAACTTTAGGATGAACTGAATTAATAAACGTTATACCTGTCAAAATATTTTCGTGTGTAATATATATATATATATATATATATATATATATATATATATATAAAATCATTAACTGATTTTATCAATGCGGTGCGGTTTAAACAGCAATTTTGTAATCGTAAACCGCACTGCGTTATGCGGTGCGGTTTGGTGCAGTGCAGGCAGTTTATGCGGTTTGTGCGGTTTATTGCACACCCATATCATCTGGGGTACCTGAAACATAACCCAAAACTGTAAGCTCAAAGCTTAGTGAGTTCCCCCAAAATACCAACCCAACACAAAACCAGAATAATAACAATAAACAACATGCATAGAGAGCCTTCACTCTGAGTGGAACGCCCCACCGACCTGCAGTCTATCTGGTACACTCACAGAACCTTCAGCATGACTGGTACGCCACACCGGGCCTTCAGCCTATCTGGAGCGTTCTTTCGGCCTTCGGCCTGATTGGTACGCCCCACTAGCCTTCAGTCTATCCGGTATGCCCTGGGTCTGTTGGCCTTCAGCATAAAGCAGCACTGCCTCAACCCACCCACCATCACATATCAACATATATCATATCAAACATTAGCTAGCATGTATAGACAATCATATAGATTTAACAGATCACTAATCATAGCATCATTCTATATACCAAGATACAGATCTAACATATCACTACACATAGCATCATACGATAAACTAGGATAACAATCCAAAAGGGTCGGCCTTGGTTCCTTCGACCCAAAACTATAGTGAGGAAAACTCATCTCTCACTGCTAAATCACACTAGAAGTCTCCGGCTGTTGGCTCGTTAAAATCCACACGTTATCACAAAAACATAATAATCTAATTAATATTTGGATTACAACCAAGGCTAATAGTCCATCATTAGGGTAAAAAGGCCACTTTATCCTTTCCCTATTTGGGCTAAGACCCAGGCCCAAATCTTGATCCAAAAGGCCCAACACTTAGTAATCACTCAAGGCCCATAATCAGTCCAATTTTCCAAATTGGGCCCAAACTCCTACTTGGGCCTTACCCTAAGGTCCATCTCTTCACTTAGCCCAAAACACCCATACTCAGATGATCCAATAAGGGCCCAAGCATCCAAGCCCAAAAGGTGGCCCAAAACTTGAAGCCCAAACTCGAAAACCCAACAGGCTAAGTACGCGGGGCATACCCAGCTGTACGCTCAACATACTCCACCTTGACCAAGACAAAATGCCGACAACCTACGCCCAACGTACGCCCTGGTACGCCCAGCGTACGTGGTGGCCATGCACAACTTCGAAAAAGGGGTTATTCCATTCAGTCCAAACGTCCAAAAACCAGATCCAAGTCCAAGAAGGTGCTCTTAACCATAAAGTTTCCAACTTTATGGTTATGCATGCATCATTAAGATCCAAAACCAATCTCCTAGTTGGTCTTAACCACTAAGGACCTCCACACTTTGCATACAAGCACTAAATGAGTCAAGAAAGCATTTTTCTGACTTAACACAACTCAAATCTTCTGAAAAGGTAGCTCCTTTGGCCTTAGAGTAGCATTTACTTATCAAGTCCTAGAAAAGGGGACAAACTCATAAAACTCCATATTGCTAGATCTCTAAGAAATACAAGTAAAGTTCAAGACTTTATACCCTATAGAGCTCCCCAAAGAGATGAAGATCCTAGATCTATAAGCTTGAATGCCACACCAAAGCTTCTCAAAGAATCCCTTCTTATTTTTTCAACACCAAGAACACAAATGCACACACTCAAGCTCAACACACACAAGGGCTAGAGCTTGCAAAAATCGACTCAAAGAGGGTGGGGGTTGAAAGGGTGAGGGAAATGAGGCTATAAGGGGGATTATATAGGGCTCAACCCTAAAAATTAGGGTTTTCCATGTCTGATGAGTACGCCCCACGTACAAAGGCACACCCTAGTACGCTAAACATACATACATACGCATGGTGTACTCTTATCCTTTCAAAATTACAGTTTTTCCACTAGGGTTTCTCAAGGCTACTTTCTTCTATCACAGAGACCAAAATGAAATAAATTAAAACCATAAGGATAAATTTGGAAGTACCTAAATACCGGGGTGTTACAAGAATAATACATACTCTCATAGTCCTTTGAAACTGTTCCAAGCTGTTGATGGAAAGAGGATTACTAAGAGTCCAAACCAGAACTCCTCTTTTGTAGTCCCACCCAAGAAGTAGATCCAACAACCTTGACAACCTTTATTGTGAACACTCTAATCACGGACCTTAAACGATTTAGGGTTCCGCCGCCTATACACTGAGTAGAAGAGTTATACACTGTGTATAACAATTACGCATCATGTAGGAACATTAAGAACCACATAGGAACATTATGCATCACGTTGCATACCGAACATCGAAGATAAAGCAAAGTTATAACATCCCAAAAATCAGAGTAAAATTTTTCATTTTTCCAAAACAAGCCCAAGTCAATAATTGTTTAAATAAAGTTGTTTTGAAAGTATAGTTCGTAAATCAGAGTATCCGAAAATCCAATAACATAAAATCCTAAGGATGTACACGATCATGCCTTTGCTTTTCCTGATCATCTGAAGTACCTGAAACCATAACAAACAACTGTAAGCACGAAGCATAGTGAGTTCCCCCAAAGTACCACCACACAAACAGATAACATATACAACAAGAATGCATACAGGGTTTGGTTGTCCTTAACCTCAACCCAACTGTCCAGGGTTTGTTGGCACGTGGCGTCAATCCAACAATCCAGGTTTGTTGGCACGTGACGTCAACCTTACCATAACAGGTTTGTTGACCACTAGTCTCAACCCAACCATACCGAGTTCGTTGGCACGTGACCTCAACCCAAAAATCTAGGTCTGTTGGCATGTGGCCTCAACCTTACCATACCAGGTTTGTTGACTGGCACCACAAAGCAGTACAGTGTCAACCCAGCCACACTATGCCGACATATGCAACAAATAAACATATAGCTAATAAACATGCAGATCTACAAATCACTACCGCATAGCAACATCCTAAATACCAGGATACAAATGTCACAGATTACTACAACATAACAACATCCTATATACCAGGATACACAACCTAGTGGGACGACATTAGTGCCTTCGACCTACGAGTATAGTGAGGAAAACTCACCTGAATCGAAGAAACTTGAAAGACTACGATATTCTCCCTTTTGCACCGCTTGCTCCCGCGAATCCACTAGCACCAGAACCAGATAACATATTAATCAATAGCCCAAAATCCTCAAGTTTAACCCAAGGTCAAACTTGGTCAAAAAGTCAACGATCAACAAAAGTCAAAGTCCAAGGTTGGTTGAGTACGCCCTGTGTACTCAACTTACACCCAACGTACCCAGGATGGTTTAGTATGTCCAGCGTACCCGAGATGGTTTAGTATGCCGAGCGTACTCGAGCTGGTTCCATCCTTTCCATTAAGCACTTCATCCCTTAAGGACTTTTCACCCAACTCATATCTAGCCTCAAAACATTGTCTGAGGTCATAAAGTTTCCAAATTTATGACTTTCCATGGCTAGGAAGGTCCAAAAGCTAAAACCCTAACTTATTAATCCATTAAGACATCATAACTCTTGCATGGAAGGGAGAGAAGGACCAAGATCACATTTTTCTGGTTCCTAATAGTTCCATAATGG